GGAGGAGTAAATGATGAGTCTGATCCTGTTATTTATTTGGAGAGATGTAATGACTTCTTATCTCTAAGACCAATGTCAAACAGTGAGATACTTGCCACCATGCGTAGTGTTCTGCATGCCTCAGCCCGAGATTGGTGGGAGACAGTAAGATTTAAAATGAATTCTTGGGAAAGTTTTCAGAAGGCTTTTCTAGCGGTTTTCCTCCCAGAGGATTATCAGGATGTACTCGAAGAAAAAGTGCGTAATCGACTGCAAGAGACAAATGAAAGTGTTCGAGACTTTGCTTTTTCATTTCAAGCTTTATTTAAACGCTGGAAAAAAGAAGCTACTGATACTGAAGTTTTGAAAGCTCTTTTAAAAGCGATGAATCCTTGTTATGCTAGTCAACTTCGTGGCCGTGCACAGACTGTAGAGGAACTTGTGAGATTAGGAACACAATTAGAGAGAGATTATGATCATCAAATAAAGTACAATCAGTTACAGTTACCTAAGAGTTCTTTTCTTGACCAGCATTTATCTAAAAAATCAAAAGGGGTAGAGGTAAAATCAAACTTACCTCCAGAACAAAGTTTGACTAGTTTGCTTTGTTGGCGATGTCATGAAAATCATTCCCCAGGTTCTTGTTCCAAGTTTAAGGCTGCCCTGAGTGGAAAGCAAACTGGTGGACAATTTCAAGGAAATAAAGAGTTCCAACCTCAAAATCAGCAACGAGGTATGCTGTCTGCTTATGATACTCAGCGCTTTGTAAAAAAAGATGTGTCATCTGGTAGGAAGCTGGATAAGAGAGATGGTATTAAAATTCTTCGTCAGTTGGTAATCCCAATGATGGTTCGGAACTGTAGTGGTAAAGCACTTGTTGATACAGGAGCTACTTATACATTGCTCAAAGTCGATTTATGGAATAAGATAAAAGAACCCAATGAGCGACTAGATGTATGGCATGAGGGACCACTTTATCTAGCGAATGGCGATGCTACTGTTCCTCTTGGCCAAAAAGTACTGGACTTCTATTTGCAGGATTTGCATTTTAAAAATTCCAACTGTAGTTCTGCCAGCTCAGAACCTTGTGTATTCAATGGTTTTGGGTTTAGATTTTATCGCACTGACTGGGTTGCAACTGAACATTAGAGATCAACTGTACAGTTTTTCTGATGATCCACAAGGTCGGGTTTTCCCTTTCCAACCGCCTATTACACCAGGGGACTCTTGGAAGTGTTGTAAACCACCTGGTAACTATAATCCATCTGCTTCTTTGTATTCTGCTATACCTCCTGTTCATTTTGTATGTACAGCAAGCAAATGTGTGGATAAGAGTGATGTGGGAGAGTCTGGTTCTGTATTGATGGAGCTTTTGCAAAGTAAAATCAAGGAGAGCAATCTTTCAGAACGTGAGTCTCATGTTCTGTTTACTCTTTTGTATGACCATCCTGACGTTTGTACTCCTAATTTGGGTAGAACCCATCTTGTCCAGCATAAGATTGCGGTTTCAAAAGATTTTGTTGTAGCTCAAAAACCATACAGACTACCCTTACACAAAAAGGAGATTGTAAAGGAACAAATTGATGATATGCTCAATCAAGATATCATCCAGCCATCTCATTCACCCAGGGCATCTCCTATTGTGTTAGTTCCTAAAAAAGATGGAGGGCAGAGATTTTGTGTTGATTATCGTAAACTAAATGCAGTCAGTGAAAGCGATGCATTTCCTCTTCCCACAGTGAATGAGATCTTGGAGTCCCTTTCTGGGTCAGGGATATTTAGTACTCTGGATTTAAATAGTGGATATTGGCAGGTGTCCATGCATCCAGATAGTATGGCCAAGACCGCTTTTGTCTCACCTTTTGGCCTATATGAGTTTAAGGTGTTACCTTTTGGCCTGAAAAATGCACCGGCCACATTTCAAAGGCTTATGAATAGAGTCTTGGCTGACTATCTGGGGCAGTGTTGTTTAGTGTATTTAGATGACATAGTCGTCTATTCGGCTAACTTTCACCAACATGTCCTAGACCTCCAGAAAGTTTTGAGATGTTTGCAGAGAGCAGGACTAACTCTCAAACTGCCAAAATGTAATTTCTGTTTAACAGAGATCAAGTTTCTTGGCCATATTGTGACTACTGATGGTGTAAAGGCAGACCCTGCTAAAACAGAAGCTATTCAGAATTTTCCAGTCCCAACAAATTTGAAGGAACTCCAACGGTTTCTGGGAATGAGTGGGTGGTACCATAGGTACGTTCAAAATTTTTCAGATATTGCCGAACCACTTAATGCTCTAAAGAAGAAAGGAGTTCGTTTTCAGTGGACAGCTAAGTGCCAGGTAGCGTTTGACTGCCTCAAAAGGCATCTTTCCTCACCACCTGTACTTGGACACCCAAATCATGTCCATACATTTGTAGTTTATACTGATGCCAGTTCAACCGGCATGGGTGCTGTTCTTGCTCAATGACCCTCCACTTTTGGTGCATCTGAGGAGGTGTTGGCGTATGCTAGCCGTACTCTGACATCAGCAGAGAAAAACTATTCTACAACTGAGCGGGAGTGTTTAGCAGTGGTTTGGGCTGTAGAACGGTGGCGGCATTATTTGAAGGGAAAATCCTTCATTGTAGTTACTGATCATGCCTCTCTTCTTTGGGTGTTCAACACTACGAAAACGAATTCCCGACTGATTCGCTGGGCTTTGAGACTACCTTTGTCTCGGATTGACGTTCCTGATTCTTTTCCAATGGTAGCTTCCTATGTTCCTAAGCAAAGTACAGAGAGTATGGTGTCACTATTTCCTCTTTGTGATGAGGATATCTGGATTGCACAGCAACAAGATGTAGAAATCCAAAGGATCTGCCTCTTCTGGAAATCTGTTTTTTACAAACCTTGTTCCATCTTTTATGTTTGTGCCTGGATACAGTCTTCTTTTAGTTTTAGACATGGGGAAAACTCCCCATCTCTCTAGCTTGCTTAAAATTTCTTCATCAGCTAGGTAAACAGGCAGATGCTTGAACGAAACAACATAGTCTCTGTTTTGTAACCTCCGTACTTCAGATTTCACTTCTTTAATTGTCAATCCATTGTCTATTAAAATTTCGGTGTCATCTTCAGTCTCTATTGTTACTTCATGCTCCCTTGTTTGTTTGGGTCTCACCGCCAGAATTCTTCCTTCCCCAATCAGCTCCGTGACTGCTTTGATTATATCAAACCTTCTTGCATCTTTTACATTTTCTACTTCTACAGTTACTGTTGCTTCCTTTGTGCACACTCTTCTTTGTATCTCTTGCTTATCCTTACCTTTTTCACCTCTTCGTTGGCCGGGCTCTTCATTTTATTTATCTCTTTGTCTGCTGTCAAGTCCATTTTTTTTATCTCTTCGTCTATTATCCAGCCCATTTTCTTTATCCTTTCGTGCAAGTCCCTCCATTTTCATGTCGTTGCCGGGTAATCTGTCCATGATTAAAAATAAAAAACCACAACATAACCACCCTTCAGTCAGCAAAATGCTGCTGTTGGGTGGTTTTTAAAGACAAAATTAAAACAAACAAACAAACCACTCAAGGTCAATAAACAAAAAGGTAGACAAGCAAAATGGGGAGAGCCTTTTTCTCCTTACTGCTGCCAACTCACTTCCTGTTTGCTCTATAGCGCCCTCAGGGTGGTGTGGCCGTAAGCGATGACAGCTGTCAAGTGTTAGCTATTGAAACTAGGCGCAGCCCCAGGAGCCGAGCACAGCTTAGCTGCCTGCTGCGCCAATGAGGTGGACAGCCGGAGCTGGGCAAGCTGTGAAACACCAGATTCCATGTCACGGTACTGCGGTGCGGCTCCCAGGAGATAGCTCCTGCCAAGCTTGCATGTCAGGATGGCCAAGCGGTCTAAGGTGCTGCGTTCAGGTTGCAGTCTCACCTGGAGGCGTGGGTTCGAATCCCACTTCTGACAAACCGAGCTTGGGCGGTGCGCTCAGGCTGAAGTCTTTAACTCTCTGCCACCATGTCCGAATGATACAGTATCACTGACAAAGCGCCGCATCATGCGGGCTTTAATGCAAGTGCACCGAAAGGGGATCAAAAGAATTGTCCTGGGATGGCGTTGATTTGTAAGGTTTGCAGGGCATTTTTTCGTCAAATCCTCGTACAACGTCAAGTCATGACATTTGACAGATCCATGACCTTGTATCGTGCATCATCCAGTGAGCAGAGAGACAATTGAGAATGTGCGTAAAAGCAAATATGAATGTTTCCGCCCAGTTTCTAACAGGAGACCCTCCGCTTGTAAAGCCATCGTGATAACCACAGGAGCCTCCGGTTAGGATGAGAGCACTGTCTTGTGGTGCCATCGCAGAGAGACTGAAAGTCACTTTCCACAATGTTTTCATTCAATGTTCTACGCTGGTGGAATCACTTTCCCATTCCCACTCGGATTACGGACACACTGGTCTACTTCAAACGACAGCTAACACCCATCTCTTCAGAGTACACCCGAACCCCGGTGAATATCCCTCTCTCTAAAGAAAACGACACTCCTACTCCAGCACTAAATTCTCTGAGCACAAACAAATTGCTTGGAATAAATAGCCCTTTTTCGTATGCATTGCCTCGTCTTGTTGAATCGCTAAATACCTCCACTATTGTATGTCGCTTTGTACAAAAGTGTCCACTAATTGTATGCTTCCGCCCAGTTTCGAACAGGAGACCTTTAGCGTGTAATGCAAACATGATAAACACTACACTACGGAAACCAATAGGCCAGTGCTGCTTCAAGTATTTATAGTCTTTTTTTATAGAGCTGTCTTGCACGGTCCGCATCGTGGAGGGCCAGCAAACGCACTGGCCACCTGCTCATGCACAACACAAAGCTAAAAGAAATCAGATTCTACGCAAGTTTGCGACACCGCGAGGGGAGGTAAACACTGAGTTGAATTCAAACTTCTAGCCTCACAACGCTCTGCAGAAAGAATGTTTTCAGTGAACAGCAGTACTCAACAGAAGCCTGATTTGACAATTGTCGTAAAAGCCAGAGCTTGTTTACACCCAGTTTTGAACTAGGGACCTTTCGCGTGTAGGGCGAACGTGATAACCACTACACTATGGAAGCCTTCAGGAGTACAATCAGCAGATAACCCTTTTTGATTGGGTGCCTGTTGACGATCATTGCTGGTGCGGCAGTGGATGCTATTATTTTCTCGCCAAAAGAAAAGCACTGTTCCTGCTCGGTTTCGAACCGAGGACCTTTGGCGTGTTAGGCGAACGTGATGACCACTACACTACAGAAACCCCACAAGTGCTTTCGCCGGCGAAGTTAGGCTTGCAAGGATAAAACAAGGTGTACGCGTTTGTCAATCAAGCGGACAAAGCCGACTCAGCGTGACAAGCTCCCTGCAGGTATTAGGGCCAATTTACAATCCGGGCCCAACACAGCTGTACAGGTCCTAGCGAAATGTCCCCTTTCGTCACATTTGAAGCACCTGAATTCTGGGCATTCCTTCATCACATGGTCTGAGCTCATGCATAGTCGACAGGTTTTTACCTGATTGGTGTGCATGACTCTAAATTGCTATGGCCCTTCCGCCGTCTCGATTTTGGTACTGTATGGTAGGGAGACCGTCTCTTCTTGAAATCTGTTTTTTACAAACCTTGTTCCATCTTCTATGTTTGTGCCTGGATACACTCTTCTTTTAGTTTTAGACAAGGGGAAAACTCCCCATCCCTCTAGCTTGCTTAAAATTTCTTCATCAGCTAGGTAAACAGGCAGATGCTTGAACGAAACAACATAGTCTCTGTTTTGTAACCTCCGTACTTCAGATTTCACTCCTTTAATTGTCAATCCATTGTCTATTAAAATTTCTGTGTCATCTTCAGTCTCCATTGTTACTTCATGCTCCCTTGTTTGTTTGGGTCTCACCGCCAGAATTCTTCCTTCTCCAATCAGCTCCTTGACTGCTTTGATTATATCAAACCTTTTTGCATCTTTTACATTTTCTACTTCTACAGTTACTGTTGCTTCCTTTGTGCACACTCTTCTTTGTATCTCTTGCTTATCCTTACCTTTTTCACCTCTTCGTTGGCCGGGCTCTTCATTTTATTTATCTCTTTGTCTGCTGTCAAGTCCATTTTTTTTATCTCTTCGTCTATTATCCAGCCCATTTTCTTTATCCTTTCGTGCAAGTCCCTCCATTTCCATGTCGTTGCCGGGTAATCTGTCCATGATTAAAAATAAAAAATTACAACATAACCACCCTTCAGTCAGCAAAATGCTGCTGTTAGGTGGTTTTTAAAGACAAAAATAAAACAAACAAACAAACCACTCAAGGTCAATAAACAAAAAGGTAGACAAGCAAAATGGGGAGAGCCTTTCTCTCCTTACTGCTGCCAACTCACTTTCTGTTTGCTCTATAGCGCCCTCAGGGTGGTGTGGCCGTAAGCGATGACAGCTGTCAAGTGTTAGCTATTGAAACTAGGCGCAGCCCCAGGAGCCGAGCACAGCTTAGCTGCCTGCTGCGCCAATGAGGTGGACAGCTGGAGCTGGGCAAGCAGTAAAACACCAGATTCCATGTCGCGGTACTGCGGTGCGGCTCCCAGGAGACAGCTCCTGCCATGATTGCATGTCAGGATGGCCGAGCGGTCTAAGGCACTGCGTTCAGGTCGCAGTCTCCCCTGGAGGCGTGGGTTCGAATCCCACTTCTGACAGACCGAGCCTGCGGCGATGCACTCAGGCTAAAGTCTTTAACTCTCTGCCACCATGTCCGAACGGTACAGTATCACTGACAAAGTGCCGCATCACGCGGGCTTTAATGCAAGTGCACCGAAAGGGGATCAAAAGAATTGTCCTAGGATGGCGTTGATTTGTAAGGTTTGCAGGGCATTTTTTCGTCAAATCCTCGTACAACGTCGTCATGACATTTGACAGATCCACAACCTTGTATCGTGCATCATCCAGTGAGCAGATAGCCAATTGAGAATGTGCGTAAATGCATTGCCTCGTCTTGTTGAATCGCTAAATACCTCTACTATTGTATGTCGCTTTGGACAAAAGTGTCCGCTAATTGTATGCTTCCGCCCAGTTTTGAACAGGAGACTCTTAGCGTGTAATGCAAACATGATAAACACTACACTACGGAAACCAATAGGCCAGTGCTGCTTCAAGTATTTATAGTCTTTTTTTATAGAGCTGTCTTGTACGGTCTGCACCGTGATGGGCCAGCAAACTCACTGGCCACCTGCTCATGCACAACACAAAGCTAAAAGAAATCAGATTCTACGCGAGTTTGCGACACCGCGAGGGGAGGTAAACACTGAGTTGAACTCAAACTTCTAGCCTCACACCGCTCTGCAGAAAGAATGTTTTCAGTGAACGTCAGTACTCAACTGAAGCCTGATTTGACAATTGTCATAAAAGACAGAGGTTGTTCCCGCCCAGTTTCGAATCGGGGACCTTTTGCGTGTGAGGCGAACGTGAGAACCACTACACTACGGAAACCTTCTGGCGACACAAGCAGATAACCCTTTTTGATTGGGTGCCTGTCGACGATCATTGCTGCTGAGGCAGGGGATGCTATTATTTTCTCGCCAAAAGAAGAGCACTGTTTCTGTTCGGTTTCTGGTGTGCATGACTCTAAAGTGCTGTGGCCCTTCCGCCGTCTCGATTTTGGTACTGTATGGTAGGGAGACCATCTCTCCTGGAAATCTGTTTTTTACAAACCTTGTTCCATCTTGTATGTTTGTGCCTGGATACAATCTTCTTTTAATTTTAGATGTGGGGAAAACTCCTCATCCTTCTAGCTTGCTTAAAATTTCTTCATGAGCTAGGTAAACAGGCAGATGCTTGAACGAAACAACATAGTCTCTGTTTTGTAACCTCCGTACTTCAGATTTCACTCCTTTAATTGTCAATCCATTGTCTATTAAAATTTCGGTGTCATCTTCAGTCTCCATTGTTACTTCATACTCCCTTGTTTGTTTGGGTCTCACCGCCAGAATTCTTCCTTCTCCAATCAGCTCCGTGACTGCTTTGATTATATCAAATCTTCTTGCATCTTTTACATTTCTACGTCTACAGTTACTGTTGCTTTCTTTGTGCATACTCTTCTTTGTATCTCTTGCTTATCCTTACCTTTTTCACCTCTTCTTTGGCCGGGCTTTTCATTTTATTTAGCTCTTTGTCTGTTGTCAAGTCCATTTTTTTATCTCTTCGTCTATTATCCAGCCCATTTTCTTTATCCTTTCGTGCAAGTCCCTCCATTTCCATGTCGTTGCCGGGGAATCTGTCCATGATTAAAAATAAAACACACTACATAACCACCCTTCAGTCAGCAAAATGCTGCTGTTATGTGGTTTTTAAAGAAAAAACAAAACAAACAAACAAAAACACTCAAGGTCAATAAACAAAAAGGTAGACAAACAAAATGGGGAGAGCCTTTCTCTCCTTACTGCTGCCAACTCACTTCCTGTTTGCTCTATAGCCCCCTCAGGGTGTTGTGGCCGTAAGCAATGACAGCTGTCAAGTGTTGGCTATTGAAACTATCGCTAACCCGATTTGGAAGTTAACGAGCTCGCCGACAGATCGGGCTATGATCGGGAAGAAATCTGCGGGTGCTCGCCGCTCTTTATGTGTGAACTACTGAACAACGCATCAACAAGGCTCGCTGACGCGTCGCCGACACCTCGCAGACGGAAATACAACATTCAGCATGCTAAATATTCCAGAGCAGTCGGCCGACTCAACCCCACGTGTGGTCAGATGTAGTGACGAGCTGCAGCCAATGAGAGAGCATATCAGCATGAGCTGAATGCCTGTGTGTTCAGGAGCTCAGCAGAAACATCTGTGATTGGTCAGAATGGGCATCGATGCACTCGCTACATTCTGCGGTACTACAGACATTAGAGTAGGATATATTAATAGTGGAACTAGAATTCTGTAACTATTAGAATTACCATACTGCTCATTCTGACCGTTCTAATATAAAATGCCATATTGTCACAACATATTTATATTCAAAGCTATTATTGAGATATTAATATTAAGCTTTAAATATCTGGCATCATATTTAATGACACCATTACCCTAAAAATATAATCCTTTTTTGGTAATACAGCCTATAAATATGTAGTTAAGATACTAAAACACTTAAAGGTCTTGGCTTTCATTTTCACTTTCAAACAGGAGCTATTTCACAGCACAGAATATGCAGTTTTGAAAGATATCTGAAGTAAATTGATGTTTTTGCCATCAGAAAGTTTTGTTTATGTTAGCAGGAAATTGCTAGGCAAGAAAATGCACACATATTTAAAGTCACAGTGAAAAGTATCAGACATGCATGCAGTCATTTTAACCAATATGGTTATTTAAGGCAGAAATGCTCAGTTCTTTACTGTTTTGTAATAAAAAAAATAACAATGTCAGAAAGAATTACACTAATAGTTAGAAAACGGCAGGGTGTTATAAACATGTTTTATTTCAAAGAGTTATAAAATTACAAAAATTAAAAACTCTCTGTGTTTATCTATCCACCGGAACCTTGCAGATAAGTGATTTATCCGCTGATAAATCAGCTGATATGACGATGTTTTTAAATGCTTTCTCCTAAGCTTGAAACGCTGTTAGTGATGTCATCAGCACACAAGCTGCCAATAGTGTTCAGCTTTTTCTGACGACTCCTCCCTCAAAATTTCATTGGCTGTGGTTTGGTAGCTTGAATGAGCTGATGGGGAATGAGTTGTTGTCAGATGATGTAGTGTGTGACCCCCCTCTTGTGGATCATTCACAGAGTGTTGCGTAGTGTGAACACCTCAGAGATTAAAAGACACAAAGTCAAGTCAAGGCTTTAGCTGCCTGCTGCGCCAATGAGCTGGTCAGCCGGCGCTGGGCAAGCTGTGAAACACCAGATTCCATGTGACGGTACTGCGGTTTGGCTCCCAGGAGACAGCTCCTGCCAAGTTTACATGTCAGGATGGCCGAGTGGTCTAAGGTGCTGCGTTCAAGCTGGGGAACAATCGTCCGACAAAGATAGGCAAGAAGAGGGGGAAAAAATTAAGAAAAGATAGGGTGTATTCTAAGCTCCCCAGACATTCCTTCCCTGCATCTGCTTTATGTCACGT